CCGGATGGACTAATGGACTACAAGCTCAATACAAATTAGTAAACTAAACCAGAGATTGTAGTCCATCCCGGGGGGTGGAGGTTTGAGCGGTGACTACAACACACACAGGGACCATGGGGAACAGACGTAGCCCCCCCTCCAGAAGGAAGGACAGTGTCAGAGATGATTGGAGGATCTCCAGCCGTGTGATACACAAATAAGAGACATTGTTGCTCGGAGTTCCGGGACTCGGAGGGATATTTCGGATCTCTCTGCGGAGTTTGGTGTCACTCTGATGACGTATCTCCTCGTCTTTGCAGGTGGCGGTGCCGGAGTTGGTGGGCGCGGTCTCCGGGGCAGATATTTTGGTGTTCGTGGTGCCCCATCAGTTCATTGGCACAGTCTGCGACCAGCTGGCCGGACACCTGAAATGTGGAGCTTTCGGCATCTCTCTGATTAAGGTGACAATGACCCCCCCCTCGGACATGTTTGTGTGACCCCCCGATATTGGCGACTCTCAGTCATGTGATACAATGTCAGTGCCGGACACGACTTATGACTTAGGGACTGCACGTTAGAGGGAGGAGCCAGGCTGGTCCGGGTCCGTACATCCGGGGGTCTTCTGTCCACATGCAGCACCCCACACACATCAGGTCATGACCCCTTGGCTATGTAGGTGTGTGCACGGTGCGTCATGGATGTGCGTTATCATGCATCCCGTGTGCTGGGTGTGTATATCACACAAACAATAATATTAATAAATGTAGCGATTGTTACATTGAAATACAATAACACGTTCTCATGTTGTAGCACTACAAGTCACAGCGGCCTCATTACTCCTCAGCAATATGTTGATTTCCTGGCTGAACTCTATGAGAGTCATATAGACATGTCTGTGAAGCCTCATGAGGGGGGATGGGTTTTCGTGTGTGGCCCTCCCAGGTTGGGGCCCTCAGCTTTGTTCCTCTGGTGATTGATAATGGTCAGACAGGTTCATTTTTGTAAAGAAATCTTCCTCCACTTCTCCATCCCCGGAGAGCGGCTCCGTCCAATCCTCCATCATATGGCCACGCCCCTAACTCCGACTGACACTCGGACACGGCCTATCAGAAGGCTGAACATCACCATATCCCCG